ATTATGATAGAGAATCTATATTGCACTGAAGTGTTAGTGCTGTGTTGTGGGTCAGTTCCTGTTCAGACACTGTTCCTCAGGGTTATTCTCTCTGCTTGACTTTCTCTTTAGATCCTCCCTCCAGTTCTCATCTGCTCCTCTTCTGTTCACTTTCTGCCCGTTATCTCTGTTTTTCCTTCTGCCCTCTACCACCAAAAGTGGGGAGCAAAGTGAAAAAGAGTGAGTATGTATTCGTTGTGTGAAGAAGCCCTCTGAAGTAGTAGGTTATTCATCCCATCCCAAGAAAAGCAAACTCTATATTGGCTGAAAGAGAAATTAAAATAGCAATTGAGTCACTGGCCAGGGCAGATACAAAATATCTCTCTGAAAACTCCACTAAGTAAAGCTAGCAATGGGACTGAAGCCCTGTTAGGACCTTGGGTACCTGGGGCAGAAAGGTCTGTAGCAAACCAACCCTCAAGGCCAGGCCAGGACCCACCAGCCATTATGTAAAAGGATAGTGTAAACTTAATGTTTTCCATTAATTTAATTTACTTTTACATTACCCACTTGTGGGTCTCTGTTAATTCCCATCTACTGCAAGAGGAAACATCTCTAATGTGGGTTGAATGAAGCACATGATCTATGGGTATCATATGTCATTTGGAGTCAATATACTGCTATGCTCCTTTAAGAGAATAGTGGTAAGCCATGGCATATCTAGTCTCAGGATCATTTTAGCAGTGTCAGGTATGGGTTCTACCTCATGGACTGGATTTTAAATACAATCAAAAACTGAGTGGTTACTCCCATAATATTTGTGCCACTATTACACTAGTATATCTTGTGGCAGGTCACTGTTGTAGGTCACAGGGTATTGTATCTGGGTGATATTGATGATTGATTACATTTTCTTTCAGTAGCTTTTTTCCATGACCCTCTCAAAACTTTAAAATTCACTTTACATCCTGATCACAGTCCCCCTCTCTTCCCTCTTCCCAGTCTCACCCTTACAAATCCCTTTCCCCGCTGTCCTTCCCCTTTTCCTCAAAAAAGGAGAGCCCCCCTTGAATACCACACTGCCCTGAGGCATCTAGTCCCAACAAGTATGGGCCTCTCACACTGAGGCCCAACCAGGCAAGTAGTGGGGAAGGAGATTCAATGAACAGAGACGAAGACAGCCCCCACTTTTAAGGAGAGCCACATGAACATTAAGCTGCACATTTGCTACAAATGTATAGGCGGTCTAGGTCCAACTCCTGCATGTTCTCTGGTTGGTGGCCCAGGCTCTATAAACCACCCATGGTCCCATGTTAGTTGACTTTGTGGATCTCCATGTGGTGTCTTTTCAATTCTATCCCAGATTCTTCCACAAAACTTCCCGGGCTCCACCTGATGTTGGGCTGTGGGTGTCTGCATCTGCCTCCATCTGCTGCTGGATGAAGTCTCTCAGGAGACAGTTATCCTTCTTGGGTTGGAGTTTTCCTTTTAGTATTTTCTGTAGGGCTAGATTTGTGGATAGATATTGTTTGAATTGGTTTTGTCTTGAAATATCTTGTTTTTTCCATCTATGGTGATTGAGAATTTCAGTGGATATAGTAGTCTAGGTTGGCACCTATGGTTTTTTTAGAGGTTCAAAGATATTTGTCTAGTCCCTTCTAACTTTTAGAGTCACTATAGAGAAATCAGTTGTAATTCTGACAGGTCTGCCTTTTATGTTACCTGACCTTTTTCCCTTGCCAGTTTTAGTATTCTTTGTTCTGTAGATTTTGTGTTTTAATTATTATGTGGCAAGAGGACTTTCTTTTTTTCTTGTCCAGTCTAGTTCGTGTTCTGTACTCTTTTATGTTTGTTTATGGATATTTCTTTCTTTAGGTTGGAAAATTTTTCTTCTGTGATTTTTGTTGAAAATATTTTTTTGATCCTTGGAGCTGGGATTCTTAACCTTCTATTCCTATTCTTCTTAGGTTAGGTCTTTCATGGTATCCCAGATTTCCAAGATGTTTTCTGTCAGGAATTTTTTAAATTTAACATTTTGTTTGTCTGATATATCGATTTCTTCTATTGTATCTTCTATGTCTCTTGTATTTTTTGGTGATGCTTGCATCTCTTATTCCTGTCTCTTCCCTAGATTTTCCATCTCTATGATTCCCTCAATTTGTGTTTTCTTTATTGCTTCTATTTCCATTTTCAGGTCTTCACCAGTTTTATTTAGTTCCTTTACCTATTCAATTGTATTTTCCTGTATTTCTTTAAGGGATTTATTCTTTCCTCTTGAAAGGTCTCTATTACCTTTATAAGACTGGATTGAATGTCATTTTCATGTGTTTTTGTTGTGTTAGGATATCCAGGGTTTGCTATAGTAGGATAGCTGCTCTGGAGGTATCATTTTGCCCTTTTGTTTATTGTGATCTTTTTAGGACCTTTAGCCATCTGATTGTCCCTGGATGTTCCTGTTGTAGTCGGTATTGGGAGGCAGCCTAACCTCGATGATCCTAGTGTGGCAGGCCTCTGAAGGGTATCCTTTGGCTGGTCAGTGGTACTCAGGAAGCAGTGCTAATCTCCCAGCAGTTGTGTCTGTCTCTGGGGACACTTTGGGAAGCAGATTGAGGGGGAGGCAGATGGAGAGATGACTGAAAAATGGAGGGGGGTGAGGGTGGGGAATAACAGGCTTAACAGGGCAGCTGGGTGTGCTCCAGAGGACTCAGCAATGGACAGGGGAAAAATCATGTTAGAATCTTAACAACACTTTAATGCAGATATCATGAAATGAAGTCTATTGTATATTTTATTAATCTAGAAATGCTGCTTAAATCGCCTATAAGCTTAAATTTCAGTATATGATATTGTCAAAACTTCTCAAACCTCTTTTTTTCTATTAAGTTGCACCTCCTCCACCTCTAGCGTTCTGTAGATCTCACCTTAAAGTTTATTCTTGAACTTAGATTAGCAGTTTAAATGACAGTGCCCAAGGTCACTCAGCAAATGGCATAGTTGGAATATGAACCCTGATTGTCCCACTGCAGAACACCACAGTTGGTTCTTAGAACTGACAGTATGACCCAAAATCAATGATGTACACAGTCGTCACTATTATATCTTGGATGGGTCCATAAGCCAAAAGGTTGGTTAGTGGTTATTATATTGTCTTTTAGCCTCTACAACCATGTCAGAAGTTACTAGAGAAGGTTCTAGAAAAGACCTGAAGAAAAGACCTTCCCTCTCTCTACATTTGAGAGTGATTTGAGTTGATTAAAGACTAGTTAGATCTGTATATAGATGTGGGTTAGTATTTAAGTCTTGTTCCTATTACTGCCTGAGAAAACACTAAGTTATCCCTTTGTTTTCTGCACCACTAGCTTGAGTGAGGTTTTTGTTTGTTTTGTTTTTGTTTTGCTTTTCCCATAAGAAATACTTTTTTATATCATCTTTTGGAGAACAGAGTATAATTTGGCTTATACATCCAGATCAGTCTATCATTGGAGAAAGTCAGGACAGGAACTCAAGCAAGGCTGCAACCTAGTGGTAGGAGCTGATGCAGAGGCCATGGAGGAGTGCTACTCAATGGCTTCTTTCCCAAGGCTTGCTAAGCCTGTTTTCTTATAGAACTCAGAGCTACCAGCCCAGGGATGGCACCACCCACAATGAACTGCAGACCCTCACCCCCATTGATCACTAGTTGAGAAAATGCCCTATAGCTAGATCTCATGGAGGTGTTTCCTTAACTGGGGCTCCTTTCTTGTATTGACCCTCACTTGTGTCAAGTTGACACACAAAATCAGCCAGTACAATTGACTCCTTGTCAACTTGGCACAGAGACACATCACTATTAAGCCACAGCCCTTGCTTTCTTATTCATCCTCAAGAACTGTCTTCTGAGAGGCTTCATCCAGTAGCTGATGGAAACAGATGCAGAGACCCACAGTCAAACAACAGGCAGAACTCTAGAAGTCTTGTGGAAGAGTGGGAAGAAGGATTGACGGAGCTGGAGGGAACAAGAATACCACAGGAAGACCTACATAGTAAACTAACCTGGGCCCATGAGCGCTCACAGAGAATGAACCACCAACGAAAGAGCATGCATGGGCTGGATCTAGGCCCCCTACACAGATGTAGCAGATGTGCAATTTGTTCTTCATGTGGGTCTCCTAATTAGAGCAGGGTCTGTTTCTGATTCTGTTGCCTGCCTTTGGATCCCTTTCCCATACCTGGGCTGCCTTTTCTGGCATCAGTAAGAGAGGATGCCCTTAGTCCTGCTGTGGCTTGATTTACCATGGTGGGTACCCATGAGGGGACATTCCTTTCTCTAGAGGAAGCAGGGATGGGGGCATTATAAGAGTGGGACTGGGAAGGGGGTCTGCAATCAAGTTGTAAAGTGAATGAATGAATGAATGAATGAATGAACGAACGAATGAGAGAAAAACATAAACAACTATAAAAGTCCCACAGTCTTTACAAATTCAAACATCTGAAAATTTTAGTTCCTTTAAAATATCTAATTTCTTTAAAATCCAAAGTCTTTTAAAGTTCAAAGTCTCCTAACTATAGGTTCCAATAAAATACTTTCTTACTTCAAGAGGAAAAAATCAAAGTCACAATCAAACCAAAACAAAATCAGATTCTAACCATCCATTGTTCAGGAGCCACTCATGATCTTCTGGACTCCTCCCAGTGGTTTGGGTCACTTGTATAGCTTTATTCTCTATAGCACACAGACTGTCTTCTAGATTCAGCTGGTATCACTCTATTGTTACTGCTGTTCTTCCATCCCAGGGTACTAACATCTCCAAAATGCTAGAGTCTTATGCTGCATCTAGGCTTTATCTGGATGCACACAAAAACATAAATTCAAAACCAGCAGCTGCTTGCTAGGCCCAGTACCTCTCTAGCAATTTTGTAGACAATTATCGATCTTCCTACTTGGAAGGTCTAGAAAATGGTTAACATTGTGTGCAGAGCTCTGAGATGATAGCCTTCATTCTCTAAGCGCAGACCTAACACCAAGCAATTTGTGGTTCTAGAAAAACAATTGTGTGATGCCCGAGGATGTGAGAAACTTCTACTTGATGACCAATGGTTTTCACATGACCTGGAGTGTGAAGCTAGATGGTAAGTCAGCCTCCTTGATGTTGGAGAACATTTTCCTGTTGGAGAAGTTAGATAAGACAACGTTGAAGGTCCTTAGAAGTGTAACATCTTTTCTTTTATGCTGTTTTTGTGAGTCTCAACTGTCAAATCCAGAAGCTGTGGTTCCCTGCCCCTCTACTCAAAGCCAATTGATACCATCAGTGCTGTACTTACTTCCACCCTGTTTGACTCTGGCTAGTCTTGCTCTAGAAGTCCAATCTAGAGACTACCTGTTAGAAGAAATCACTAGTCACCACATAGAGAACCCAACAAACTCAAACGTAAAGCATCTGAGAACTCCTCCTTGGGGCCACAATACTACTGTCTTGAAACAGCTGACCAACTCTTTCAAGATCAACTTCATTCTCACCATTGTTCAACTTTAAGGCTCTAATCCCCAAACTAGAGCTTCTTTCTTTATATCAGTCACCTTGGCCCATCTCACCAAACACCTTATTTTCAGGCTTTTATCCAAGTCATGTGTTGGTGCCTAAACATTTGCATTGTAGATACAGAAGCCCAGCTTGTTACATGCCAGAGATTCAGATAATATGTAAACATGAGAGGTGGCACTACACACATATATGAAAACTCTTCAAAAAGTTCATACACTAAGAAGTCCTGAAATAGCCTCTGGGGCCCAGCATATTCTCGAACAAACCTACCAGGCCTGACCTCAGGAGTTGTTTATCACTTTCAGCTCCAGTCACATCCCCACATACTCTTCGGCCTGGGTAAACATCTATAACTCCTCTCTGCAAGTACTGAGGAATAATTTTTGTTGCACAGAAAGGCTACACAACAGACTTCTCCTTTCCATGGCTCTGCCTCCTGCTAGCACATCTGAGTTGCCTTTTTTGATGAGTTTTAGAACTGCCTGTTAGTCTCCTGTACCTAGTCAGAGGCACTTTTTATAATTTATTGATGAATATCTGATATTAGCTTTTACCAAAATCATTCTATTAAGTAGCCTAAAAACCTTGTTCATAGCTGTAATATCTTCTGTTACTTAATTTGTCTGTCCTGGTCTTTTTATCCCCATTACTAAATGGCTTAATGCAGTGACAGAAAGGGAAATGGGGTTAAAAAGATGGCTGTATGATTAGCATTTACTGCAATTCCAGAGGACCCAAGTTTGGTTCCCCCATCACCTAGGTAACTTGTAATCACCTGTCAAACCAACTCCAGGGGATCCAGTGACTCTTCTAGCCTCCAAGAGCACCCATACACATAGCAGACACCCATACACACATACGCACTAATTAATGAGTAATGTTTCTAAAGGAAACAGAGGTAGCCCTTGATATTTACTTTAGTGATCTTTCCTGATATTCTGTGATCTAAATGCTTTCACTCATTCTAGCCTTTTTAGATTTCTAAGTCTTTGTATGTCACCCTTTAGCTGGCATCCTGTATCAGTAGTATTCTATATATATAAGGGAGCATGTGTGTGCTGTTCCTTAGTTAGACCCTAGTCACAAAAGACCAGGCCCATCATACAAGAAGTTCTTTCTGTCAAGTAAGGGAAAATGACTAACAGAGGGGGAGGTATTTTCCATCATGAAGGCTTATAATAAAAAGAGAAAGGATCTATTACATAAGCAAAACCATTATTTCAGTAGAAACTGTAATTCTGCCTAATAAAAGGGGAAAGAGTAATAATATTTTTGAAGTTATTTACTCTTCAAACAGAGTTACTAACTTTAGATTTTTCTAGCCCTTTTGAATATCCCTTTAAAATCCTTTCTTCAATAGCACTATAATAAGCATGGCTGGACCTGTTTCATCATCTTTGGCAACCAGTTCCTCTGTTTACATGAAAGGCTAGTGATTTGGGGTATATAGTGAATGTTGTTCTTCTGTGCACCTTCTTTCAGGCTCCTCAGCCATGAAGCCATTCTTGGTGGGCTTATTGGGTATTCAAGCACCACTTACGGTCACCATTGCATAAGCTTTGTCATTCTTTTTGTCCTATAGACCACATTATTCCACTAGGAAGCATGGTGATTAACGGCATTTCAAAACTGACTCAGCTCAGCCAGTCTTCAGTGTACTCACTTCCTAATGCACCAACTCTGGCAGACCTAGAGGATGAGAGTCAAGAAGGTACCTGGTAAAACTTTGCTTGTGGTTAGAAATTATTGTTCTCATTTTATAAAACTGAGAACAATAGGAACATGCTGTATAATTAACCCTATGTTCCATTAAACTAACCCTTTTTATCCATAGCTTCTGGAAGTGAAATAGAAGCAGAAGAAAACAAAGAAAAATTTCATGAAGGAAATTCCAGGGTCATGTCTGTATCCCATTTTTAATTGTATTATCTGATTTTTGATATCCACTTTTGTGAGTCCTTTATATATTTTGTATATTTAGACATCTGTCAGGGTAGGGTTGGTAAAAATCTTTTCCCATTTCATAGGCTGGCTCTTAAGTTTCATGAGTCCCATTTATTGAATGTTGATTTTAGTGCCTGTTCTGTTGTTCTGTTCAGAAAGTTGTCTTCTATGACAATTTGTTCGAGGCAGTTCCCCACTTTCTCTTCTATCAAGATCACTGTGTCTGGTTTTATGCTGAGGTTTTTGATCCACTTGGACCTGAGTTTTATGCAGGGAGATAAGTATGGCTCTATTTGCATTCTTCTACATGCAGACATCCAGTTTGACCAGCGCCATTTGTTGAAGATGTTTCTGGGTTTTTGGTTTTGTTTGTTTGCTTAGTTAAAAACAAAACCAAAAAATACTGGTCCTTATAGATGTGTGAATTTATGTCTGGGTCTCTGATTCAATTCCATTGGTTAACATGTCTCTTTTAATGCCAATACCATGCAGTTTTTAGTAACTATTGCTCTGTAGCACAACTCGAAATCAGGACAGCGATACCTTAGGTAGTTCTTTCATTGTTCAGGGTCATTTTAGCTATCCTGGTTGGCTTGGTTTGGTTTGGGGTTTGGTTTGGGGTTTGGTTTGGTTTGGTTTGGTTTGGTTTGGTTTGGTTTGGTTTGGTTTGGTTTGGTTTGGTTTGACTTGGTTTTCCTTATAAATTTGAGGGTTGTCTTTTCAAGGTCTGTAAGGAATTAGGTTAGAATTTTGGTGGGAATTGCACTGAATTTGTAGATTTCTTTTGGTAGGATGGCCACTTTTACTTTGTTAATTCTACTGATCCATAAGAGTAGATCTTTCCGTCTTCTGATATCTTCTTTAATTTCTTTCTTCAAAGACTTAAAGTTTTTAATCATACAAATCTTTCTCTTGCTTGTTTATGGTTACCTCAAGGTATTTTTTATTATTTGAGGCTATTGTGAAGGCTGTTGCTTCCATGGTTTCTTCCTCACTCCAATTTGTCTTTTATACATAGGAGAGCTACTGATTTTTTTTTTTTTTTTTTTTTTTTTTAGCTAATCTTTTATCCAGCCACTTTGCTGAAAGTGTTTACCTGCTATAGGACTTTTCCAGTGGAATTTTCAGGGTTACTTGTATATACTGTCATATCATCTGCAAATACCAATACTTTGACTTCCTCCTTTCCAATTTGTATTACCCTGATCTCCTTTGGTTATCTTATTGCTCTAGCTAAAATTCCAAGTATTATATGGAATAGGTGTGGAGAGAGTGGACAGCCTTGTCTTATTTCTGATTTTAGTGTAATTATTTTGAGTCTGTCTCCATTTAATTTTATATTGGCTACAGGTCTTCTGTAAACTGTGTCTATTATATCTAGGTATATCCCTTGTATCCCTAAGCTCTCCAGGACTTGTCTTGGAGCTGAAGTTATCTCAAGGACCTGAAGGGATGTTGCATTTTGTCAAAGACAGCATCTAATGAGATGATCATGTGTTTGGATTTGGTTTGGTTTGGTTTGTTTTTATGGCAGGATTTTTTCCTGCCCATTGTATTTGCAGTGGAGATCGGTAATTGGGCAGTAGAAGAGGTAGGTGGAGCTGGGAGTTGGGAGAAAAAAAAGGAATGAAAAAGGAGAGGCAAGATGGCAGGAGATGTTGCCATTGTGTCTCTAGCAGTTATTCATATCAAGGTCAGGTAATTGGGTTTACAATCCTAATTGTGTGGGCATCTTGTGTATTGAGTATTTGCTAATATATAAATCCATTGGTTAATCCTTAAGAATTAAGTGTCTCATTTCTACCGGGTGTGGGAATTGTTTATCAACCACATAGGGGGTGGTGGAATTGGCCCTTGAGCCATGCTTAGAGCCATAGACTCCACAGAGCTGACTGGCAGAGACAGCAGCCATGCTAACGTCTTGTGGAGCCAGGGCTTGTGCTCCCAGGCTGGTGCCACTGCTGCAGTTAGTATGTGAACATAGAGCGGGAACATGGTATGGCCAGGGAGCTAGCCAGAGCCGTGCAACACTGCTGATTTTTCAAATATCTCCCACTACATGGTTTGATTTGTTTTTTCTTTAAGTTTGTTTATATGGAGGATTACATTTACTGATTTTCATATGTTGAACTATCCCTCTATCTCTAGGATGAAGCCTACTTTATTATGGTGGATGTGTTTTTCCATGTGTTCTTGGATTCTGTTTGCAAATATTTTATTACTTTTGTGTCTATGTTCATAAGGGAAATTGGTCTGTAATTTTCTTTGTTGAGTCTTCATGTGGTTTGGGTTCAAGGTAACTGTGGCCTTGTAAAATGAACTGGACATTGTTCCCTCTGTTTCTATTTTGTGGAATAATTTGAGGTGTATTGGCATTAACTCTTCTTTGAAAGTCTAGTAGAAATCAGCACTAAAACCATCTGGCCCTAGGCTTTTTTGTTTGGGAGACAAATGACTACTTTTTAGGTTTATAGGTCTATTTAAACTGTCTATCTGATCTTGATTAAAGCAGTATCTATGGAGAAAATTATACATTTATTTTAGATTTTTCAATTTGGTGTAGTGTCCTTTTTAAAGTGTCCTTATGATTATCTGGATTTCCTAGTGTCTGTTGTTCTGTCCCTCGTTTCATTTCTGATTTTATTACTTTGGATAGTTCCTATCTTTTAGTTAGCTTGGATAATGGTTTGTCTATCTTGTTGATTTTCTCAAAGAACTAACTCTTTATTTTATTGATTCTTTATATTCTCTTTAGTTTCTATTGACTTCAGCCCTCAATTTGATCATTTCTTGCCGTCTACTCCTCTTGCATGTGCTCACTTCTTTTAGTTCTGGAGCTTTCAAGTATGTTGTTAGGTTGCTAGTTGATATCTCTTCAGAGTTTTTCCTCTTAGTGCTGTTTTCATGTATCCCATCAGTTTGGTATGTTGTAGATACACTTTCTTGGGGAATGGGAGCTCAAGGGGTGATGGTCTGAGGGATTTCCCAGGACCATGAACATGGGGTAGTGGAAACTATAGCTGGTGTTCTTTTGTAGAACTAGGGTGACCCTGAGAATTGGGTCTAAGGCAATAGAGAGAGTGGGGGAGGTCCACAGGTAGCCTACCTAGTCTTCTGTCAAGCATTGCCTATTGATAAGCAGAGGATATCCACCTGGTTTAGTGGCTGGAACACAGCGATGAGGAGGGAAGGGAAGAGCTAAGCCTAGAGTTTTAATCTCAGTATCTTGTCAGATACAAAAATTCACTTCAGAAATAATGTTATAAAATTGTTTATGGTAATGATAGCATAATTTTGTAAAATATACTAAAAGCTAAGAATTCTATATTTAACTAACATAAGTGGTATGGTAGATAAATTATAGCCTAAAAAGGTGTTATTACCCAAGGTTTTGGGTGTTCAAGTACAGACTTGAAAACAGTGTGCTTGTATTGATGGAATAAAAAAACCTTCAAGGAGGAACTGAAGACTGATAATGCAGACTTCGAAGACCAGTCAAACACTTCAGAGCCTATCTAGATACTTAATTAGCATGGAGAACTCCAGGTTTTTATGTTATGTGACTGGTTGCCATGGTCTTCTCAGTGGAGTGTCATGGATACGTGTTCCAGGATAGGTAGAGCCTGGCCTGGAGCTGGTTCCACACCTGCCATTCTCAATTATGAGATTCCCTGGGGTTTTGAACCTGCTTCAACATTACCAGTTTCTTCTGTCTGGTGGTATGGTCTACTTGCCCCATGTACCACTAGACCCAGCTTCTGCCTGAGAAATTCTTTAAGATTAAGGCCAAAATATTTGTGTCCAAGTAATTTGACTATCTCAAAGCTTAAGAATATTTATAGAAATTGAAAACATTTAGCACTCAGGAGTACAAGGTTAACAATTTCTGGCATCTAATCAGAGATTACCAGGCAGTAAAATAGTTTTAATGGGGGAAAATAGTTTAATTAGAACAAATCCAGAACTGACACACGTTTTGGTATTATCATCAGAGGGTGATATCAATGGAGGGGGAACAAATTATGATTCATCTGTTCCCATAGACCCTGAAACAACCACAAGAAGTAATGAATCAATTATACTTCATGACTAGGGCTTTTCACGGGGTTACTGTGCAGAAGCTAAGAATAGGTGTACATGATGTTCTCTTCCTATACAGAAACCAAGGAAAAGAAAGACACTCCATCAGCATCCTAACACTCACATTGCTCCTTTATGTGTCTCCATTCTCAGGAAGTTCAGTGATCTTTCCTTATGCCATCTTCCACCAGATTGTCTGTCAGTTTCTATTGGTGATAAGGCCTGATCCATCAACGGAACCCAGAGCATTTAGAGCATAGACCTCTTCACCATTTTTCATCTTTGTAAAGTTATATGTATAATGATGTGTCTGAGTTGAGTTTGAACGTTACTGTTGTGTCTGGGTTTACAGGCAGTGAAAACCACCAACTAGAGAAGCCTCACTTTGACTGCCGCAGTGCGATATTTGAGCTGGATTCATGCAATGGGAATGGGAAAGTTTGCCTCGTCTACAAAAATGGGAAACCCGGTAAAGATCATTTTCAAAGCATGATCCTACAGTATAGATGTGCTCTTCCCTGAACTTGCCTGCCAGCCATCATTGAACAAAAAGCTTCCTGAGATACTTCCAGGTGTCTTCTTTGTGCTAAGACTCAACCCCTTTGGTCTTCTCTGAGCATCTCCCACTAGGCTAGTTTCTATATTCCATCTCCTTGTATGAGTCACTGTGACACAGTCAGTGGGACAGATAGTTGAGAAAAGCTTAAAAGAATTAGTCATTCTGTTCATAGGGTCGTACACTAAATAAGCATTCAGGAAATATTACCTTCCTTTTATACTTTTGTATATGGGCCAGTTAGAGCAATAGAAACCTGAATTACTAGACCTCAAGACTCTACATGTGAAGTGGGGCTTCACAAGAGAAGTAGGACCAAATGATAGTTACTGAGATACTATGCACAGCTAAACAGAAACTACCAGCTGCTCCATAATAGCAGTTCAAACCTAGGGACTGAATCTACAGCTAAATACAGTTAACCAATCTTCTTACCTCTTTCTGGTGGTGTGAAAAGGCATAAGCATTAGAAATTATCTCAGGAGAGCAGAGATCGATCCTGGGTAGAGGTATTCTAGCAAAAGACTTAGAGCTTTCTTATGAACAATCATTGGAATTACATATGAGGAGGAGGTGAAAGGGGCAGCCAAACAGGGGCAAAGTGCTTAAAAGCCATATCATGAGACAGTTCAACTGATTGGTGGTGATGACATTTTCATTTTAATGACATTAAGGTATTTGCCTAAGGAATGAAAAAGAGATGGAGTCTGAGTGTCAGCCACTTCCTCTCAGGCAGAGCTGGGAAAGCCAAGCAAAAGTCTGGACATGTTGTAGAAGACTAAAGAGTTGTTTAAGACTGTTTAATAGAATGGCAGGATACAAATGAAAATGGGCTGGTGGTTTTAGAAAAGGAAGAGAATGAGGGAATTGTTAGAAAGCTGATGAGCCACAATAGGCTACAGGTAATCCATAAATAGATGTAAGATAGGAACTGGCTTAATAGTGCCTGGGATAGCTGACCTAGGGTAGCCTATCATATAAGCAGGGAGTGTAGGGGTGAGGTGGTATAAACCAGTGGTTCTCAACCTGTGGGTTGTGACTCCTTTGGTGGTTGAATGACCTATTCACAGGGGTCACTTTAGACCATCAGGAAGCACAAATATTTATATTACTATTCATAACAGCAACAAAATTACAGTTATGAGTTGCAACAAAACCTGAGTAACTATAATAAACACCACAACCTGAGTAACTATAAAAAAGGGTCACAGCATTAGGAAGATTGAGAGCCACTGGTATAGACTCTTTTACGTTGTTTTTTGGTTTTGTTTTTCATAGCACTTTTGATTAAGAGACCTCTTTTTCAAAGACTGATCCATTCAAGGTTTCTTTCCGTCAAAAAAGAAGACAGAGTGCTCAGTCCACACAGAACAGAAGCCTCTGCTAAGATAGCCTTAATGAGCTGCCATGTAGCCAAAGCAAGCAAATAGTTCTATGGGATGATCAATCAGAAATAAATGAGTATCAAATAAACAGGTAAAAGCAGCCATAAGAGAGCAGGACTAGAAGCCTAAAAGGAGAAAAGAGGGAAATTTTGTTTTTAAACCCTCTCTACTATAAATTTTCTCTTAACTATCAATGTATATTGACATTTTATTTAAAAGAGAAAATATATTAAGTTATCTCTAACCTGTTGTGTTGTTTTAGGATTAGCACATGACACTGAGATATGGTTCCTGGACAGAGCATTATACTGGCATTTTCTCACAGATACCTTTACCGCCTATTACCGCCTGCTCATCACCCACTTGGGCCTGCCCCAGTGGCAGTATGCCTTTACCAGCTATGGCATTAGCCCACAGGCCAAGGTAAGGTGAAAACCCTGCCATCTCAGAATCTGATGTCTACCAAGAGTATTCTGTGGAAATAGTTACCTTCCAAATTCCCCATCTGCTTTAAATAGATCAAGGGGTGGAACCAATATTTTCAATAAGCAGGACTAGTAATTCCAGTGTTGGCTAATAGCTTTATATGATTCAGATCTAATTAAGTAATCAGGATCAACTGGAGTGTTATTTTTAATTAAAATGTTACTGAGGGCTTGGGCCTAGCCAGTTGTTTTGGGATCAACAGTACATACACTTAGAAAGATTGACAATTTTCCTCTGCTCCAGGTCTACATCCCCATTGCCAGGCCTAGTTGTCAGTGTAGTGTGTATGTCCCTGAGATACTCATTCCATGTAAGGCATGTGTTCTTTTTATATTTTTGCTAACACAAATGTAGCAATTCTGGGCTTTTGTTTTTCACTTACTGCTCCATTGTGGAGTTCTTTACATATCAGCACCCACAGAGCTGTCTTCTCCTATATGTTACAGATCTGGGCATCATTTCAGAGATGCCAGGTTTATACAACCTGCCTTGAAAACAGTTCAGCAATGGCTAGAACTTTGGACTGGAATGAACTGGTCTGTTTTAAAGAAAAAAAAAACCATAGTGATTTCTTATAGCACTTAATCAGCAGCAAATTTCCCTGTATCTTTACTAGCTAGCCTCATTGTTCTCACTTTTTTTTTAAATAAGAACAGCTTTCATGTAATGTGGTGTGAACTGGTTTTGATCAATCAATGACAAAAATGTGTCAGCCCCTTTCCCCCAATAGCTTTCCGAGCAACTGTAGGTATAGAGTAGCAGCACACAGCTTCCCACAGGAAAGTTTTGCCCTGACCTCTATTGCAACACCTGTAGGGATGGAGCTGTAAGGACACCCATGATGGGCACATCTGCTTTGATGGCAAGCAGGAGGACAGTGTCCTTGGTGGGTTCACTAGTTCTAAGGTACCCATAAATGTACTGGCTCCTTAGTTCTCATAGTACATTCATTTTGGAGGCCTTAAAAAGCACCATATGTGCTTACCAACGGCTTACCACTTACTGTTCAAGTGTTGATAGATTTTCAAGACAGTTTTTCATAAAAATGTGTATAAATTGAATATTACATCACTTGAATGTACCAGAAATGTAATGGACCAGAAATATTTTAGATTTTATAGCTTTCTCAATTTTGAAATAATCACATATACTTTACTAGTTGACACTGAAAAAAAAAATGTGGATTAGTGATGGTCAGTTTGTAATGTCTGTGCTATGTTGCCTGATCTCTCCCATTTCTCCTTCCAACTGTGACTCTCCCACTTGTGCCTTACAGCAATGGTTCAGTATGTACAAACCCATCACCTACAACACAAGCCTGCTCACAGAAGAGCCCGACACCTTTGTGAACAAGCTGGACCCCAGCAAAGTGTTCAAGAGCAAGAACAAGATTTTAATTCCAAAAAAGAAAGGGCCTGTGCAGCCTGCCAGTAACCAGAAAGGACCTGGGCCCTTAGCTCCTCCTAGCTCTAAGCCTTCCACAGGCTCTGGAAACCCTGTCCGAAAATAAGCCTTCTATCACCTCACATCAGTAATATCCAGGCACAGATGGCCCTGTGGCAGCCCCACCCTCAAACAGGTGTTGGCATTCTCCTGAGTGACCAAAGCCTTAGGTTTTTGCTCCCACTGTCATTAGCCAGGAGCTGGGACGATGACACTGAATTCTCCCCAGGAGTCCCTTTCTCTGTAGGTTGTGCCAATTTCATCTCCAAAACCAACCAAGAGTTTCAGATGTACTTAGAGTTTTCTTATGTCTGTACCCAATCCTTAACTTCTTAGCAGTTATTAGAGAGGTCACCTTCCCAAATAAACCCATGGTTTTTGACTCATGAAGCATCAATAACGACTAGTCATGTGACCATCTCAGTTATGAAAATTTCACACCTTCAGTTGCATTAGCCACACTTCTGGTATGCATCTGATAGTAGATTTCATATTGGACAGCACAGAAACAGGAACACTTCTGTCATAGAAGTGTTTTGGACAACATTGCATGTGAACACTTTTATATTGTTCTTCAGATACAATAATGTTAATGCCTTACCTTCATGTTTTGAGAAAACACTTTCAAAGACACAGTCTTGGGTTCTTTACAACCTATACCACAAGCACATCTCACTTGAGTCATTTCAAATTTCTGTAAAATACCATGTTCCTGATCAGTTTGCTATGAAGACTTTTGTTTCCAGCTTTCCATCTATGTTTCTACATTTGCCAAAATCATCTTTAAAAGAGACCGACCCCTGCTGTATTTTATCTGTTAATTCTCGGGGTATCATTTGCAAATAAAGCCAGTCTATTAAGAATTTTCTGTGATTCTGCTTATTCACAGTTGGGTTCTGTCTCTCCCAACTTGCTGAAGTCTAAGCAGTAGCCTCCCTAGGCCAGTGTGTTGTCCCAAGGGGCCTTTGTAAGTAGGTGTCCTATTCAAAAGGCATTTTCCCATAGAAACGTGATGGTATTAGACACTGAGCCATCCCACAGGTTTATCATGTGTCATATATTAGGCGTATAACAATTTCTGTGAAGAAAGACATTTCTCTTATTTTCGGTTAATATCTGTTCCTTCGTCTGCACTCCTGCCAATGGGCAGGAGTTTTTGATGGCTGTAATTTTTGTAATGATATCCTAGAGGTAGACTAAAGAGTTCTGAGGAGGGACAGACTGCACCCTCCCTTTCTAATTGGCCAACCTGCTCTTTACTTTTCTGCCATGGTGGTTGTCTGGGCTTCTCTTCCCTAGTATGTGATGGGAGTGAGAAGTCCCTGTCATTTTCTACTGCACTTCTCCAACACCACTTTGAATGTTTAGTAAAGATTTCAAATTCTTGTTTTGGGGACTGGAAGGATGGCTCAGCAGTTCGGAGCATGGACAACTCATACAGAGGACCCAAGTTCATGTGGCAGCACCCATGTGAAGCAGCTCACGGCTCCTGGGACTCCAGCTCCAGGAGGCTCCGTCTAGCTTCCACAGGCACCTATGCACACACATAAAAAAGGAAATAAAACTATTTGAAAAATTGTTATTGTTGTTCACTGCTATGCTCAGGAAGGTGGCGGGGTCTTCAGTCTTTCTCCACCACTTTCTATACCCTCAGGGACTCTAAGAAGAGTTGACCATCAAGGAATATGGCAGACTCTGGCTGGCTGTGTCCACATTTTTTTAATAGTTTGGATATTGAAATGTAAGTGTTCCAGTGCATTTGGGAGCACGAAGAGCTTCATGCTAGCAGTGCATTGTCTATAATAACCCAAGCTATCCTCAACTTTGCAATTGTTCCACCTGCATTTTCCCAATGCTGGAAACCAAACATGTACTACCATGCCTGGCCACTTCTAATGAAAAATGTTTAAAATAGCATCACTCTTTACATTTTTCAGCTTCAAAACCAACCATATAATGTTCAGTGTGGCTTTAAAAAGATGTATTTAATTTTAATGATGTGACTATGTTAGATCATCCCTAACTTTGGAGATAATTTGAACCTTTTAATTATTTTATTGAGCACCTAAAAATGTGCAACAATTCAAGGGAACTCCAGCAGCCCCAGACCATCATCTGACTGCTGCTTTTTTAAAGTTAGGGTTTTTTTTTTACCTCCATGTAGTCGGAATCCTGTGGCTGGTATTTGTGGAACACTTGAACACCTGGGTTTGATAGGAGCAGTGAACGCACACTCAATCTTCTCTGCTCATGTGTGTATTCATTTACCTCCTCATGCTTCATTTAGAGAACATACAAAGTCAGAATTAAGCAGAGCAATCGAACGGGATGGCCTCCTGTATAGGTGGCCCCATGTGATTGCATAAGCCACTCACCCAGAGAACTGGCTTTTCTAAGAGAAAAGGGGCATTTCTAGCAAAGTCCTAACAAGACCGAAGCAGAGTGTGTTAAATGGGAGAAAGAACCATGGAATTGCTGTTTTTAACAATGCAATTAAAATATTAGTATGCTGTACAAGAGAATTCAGCTACCTGGAAAAGGGTACTTAGTAGCATTACAAAAGAAGAATAAACAGATGTACTTCATGATGTACCATGCACAAAGTACCATGTCATACTGCTTGTCGAGAGATAGGCCAATGACTAGAGTCCAGCCAGCATGCACACAATAGCCTCTGAAATCTAATGATTAAGGCTGTGATCTCTAGACTTAGAAATGTGCACCAAAATCGTTGGTATCATGTGGGGATAAGATGCTTGGATTCCAGTTCTAATCTGCAAAATCAGAATTTCCAAGAAAAATTCCAGATATCAGGGTTTTCTCATATTTTAAGGCTGACCTACAGCTCACTATAGCCTCCTGACATACATACACACCCTGTCACTAATGTTTTAATTACAGATGTACAGTATCATGCCCAACATTGGATTTTTAGTCAATTTAACAGTAATTCAGAGTCTGAAATTTTCTGCTTAAGGTCTAAGTGGTTTGACTTTCAATTCATGGAAATTGCAAACTTTCTTTGTAATTGAGTAAACCACGTATAACTTTTTTTTCACTTCTTGAATGATGCATTTTCCTAAACACTTACTTATAGAGACTATTAAATGTTTACAGGTATACATATAACAATATAATCTAGTGTGTCCATCACAGTTTCAACAGTTACCATCTCATGGTGAATGTTTTAGTGATACCCCTGCTTCTCCCAGTTTTTGTCTTTTAAATAATTGTAACCTGTTAGATTTTTGTTTTTTTGTTTTTGTTTTATTGGATATTTTATTTACATTTCAAATGTTATCCCCTGTCCTGGTTTCCCCTCTTGAAACCCCCTATCCCATTCCCCCTCCCCTGCTTCTGTGAGGGAGCTCACCCACCCACTCACTCTCTCACCTCCCTGCCCTTGAATTCACCTACACTGGGGCATCGAGCCTTCATAGGACCAAGGGCTTCTACTCCCATTGATGCCCAACAGGGCCATCCTCTGCTACATAGGCAGCTGGAGCCATAGGTCCCTCCATGTGGTTGGTGGTTTAGTCCCTGGGAGCTCTGGGGGGGGGGGGTCTGGTTGTTCTTCCTATGGGGTTGCAAACCCTTCAGTCCTTTCCCTTCTTGGCATCAGCAATAGTGTCTGGGTTTGGTGGCTGCATATGGGATCCATCCCATGTGGGGCATTCTCTGGACGGCCTTTCCTTCAGTTTCTGCTATATTCTTTGTCCCTGTATTTCCTTTAGACAGGAGCAATTCTGGATTAAAAATTTGGAGATGAGTGGGTGGCCCCATCTCTGAACCAGGGGCCTTTCCTAACCTCTGGATATGATCTCTACAGTTTCTCCCTTAGGTATTTCAGCTAATAATATCATTATCAGTCATTAATGTCATCCTTGTTGGGTCCTGGGAGCCTCTTGCTTTCCTGGCATCTGGGACTTTCTGGTGACTACCCCCAGTTCCCCATCCTCCACTGCTACACACTTCTGTTCAATTTCCTGACCCTCTATCATCCCTGTCTCCTCTCATACCTGATCCTGCCCCCCTTTTTTCCCTTTCCCTCCTCTTTTCCTCCAAAGTCCCTCCCACCCTCTACCTCCTGTATTTTTTCCCCTTTCTAAGAAGGACTGAAGCATCCACACTTAGTTTTTAAGCCATACTTCTTGCCTTGGGTTTTAACAATTGCCCTGGCAGTAATAATGCATGTTCTTTTCTCTGTTCACTGCAGTAGTTATTCACATGGGGTTTCTGGTAGCATTATTTGAGCTGTGTACTTGTGACCCTTCATTACAGCTACAGGTAGGTAGCAAACCATTTTGGCTGCATTCTTACCTTTGGAATTTGTTGATAAATTCCCTTCTCTGGCTTTAGTCACCCCAACAAACTCCTGTCTTCCCAGATGTGTTAGTTGCCTTCCTTTTGCTACACTAAAATACCATAACCAAAAACAGCATATAGAAGAGAGTATTTTTTTGCTTATAGTTCCACAGGGCAGGAGGGGCATTGCAGCAGGCAGCCAGAACAGAAAGCTGAGAGGTCATCTCTTCAATTGCAAACATGATGCAGAGAGAACTAGAAGCAGGAAGGGGCTATCATTCTCCAAGCCCACCCCTAGTAATGTGCTTCCCCCAGCAAGGCCACACATAACATTCTATGTCCTCCCCAGAAAGAACCACCAGTCAGGGACCAAGTGTTCATGTATGTGAGTCTATAGAGAACATTAGCCACACATTCTCTTGTAAACCCACACAGTCTCCATTATGGAGTCATGACTGCTAAATTAATTAGTGCATACAGTTAGTTTTCCTGTCCTTCCTTTATAATGTGACCCCACGGTTGCTAATTATGAACTTCCTGCTAGCAGTTCTGCTCTCTTAAGCCATTTATTCTTTGCTTCCAAGACATCAGTCTGGTTCTCACCTGTGCCTTTATACCTGTAGTTTCCCCCTGAGGTTTAGCTCTAGTTTGCCTCTACCCAGAACTCAGTGAAGCCCCAATGCCCCTGGATTTTGAGAAGTGTCTTTAGTGCTACTCCAGAAAGCCATCCTAATCATATGGACTCCCATGAACCGTTAATATATAAAATGTAAAGTTGGTTATACATAATTCTCTATTAAGCCAAATAAATATGTCATATTTGAGGGCAATAAATAAAAATGAATAAGTTGTGAAAATGCTTAGCTTTAAAAATTGAGAAGACAATAATTGCCTTATTTTAGAGTCTGGCTATCCTTCGTTCATCTTATGGACTGTCTCGTAAAACCGTCATAATGAAATAGGTTACACATGAAGCCACGAATGCCGCTGGTCTTTTCTGCACCACATATTTTGTTACCCAGAAGTCTACCTAACTAGGTATCCACCAATAGCTGTCTTGATAAGGCTCTAAAAGAACAAAAAGTAACTCGTGAGACATGCTGGGATGTGCCACTTCTTATCCTGTGTCTAGGAAAAGTTCTTCAACATCGTTGATGCTGTTTCTTCAGATGTAAAATGAAAATTTATGGAAGAGCTGTAAAACTATTAAATAATGCAAATTGAGTGCACACATGGAGATGCTTTCAATAAGCAACAGCTTTTAAAATAGCATTCAGAAAGTCCATTTTCTCCTCATGAATTACCTAACCAACAGAACCAATTGCTCTACCAGATGATTTTTTTGACAAAATTGATTATCTATTTTAACACGTATCTTTACTGTCTATTTCAAAGCCATTAGCTTTCGTTTAAAATTGCAAAGACATTTTATTCCTGAAGCAATTTGGTACTTTTGTGGTATACTTATCTCTCTGATAAAATGATTTCTAATCAAAACTAGAAATAGCTAAAGACTGGTGGATAACTGAAATTTAATTGGACGACAGCCTCCCACAGCTTCTGTTATGCCTCCTGAGGAGAAGGATCATGGCTCTCACTTTCCCAACTGATCACCCAGCCTTAGCACACAGTTACCTCCAAACTTGGCCCATAGTGCATAGTTTGTTGTGCTGTATTTTTAGGACTGCCATAACACAACACGAAACAATAAACATGATGGCTTAATACACATAAATTTACCCTAATGTACTTCTGCAGGCCAGAAGCTCAATATCAGTTTTATAGGGCCAAAATACAGTTGTCACTGGGGCTGTACTTGGGAGGCTGTCCTGGAGAATCTGTCCTTGTTTCCTCCAGCAGTCCTTGCTGCTTTCATCTTCTTTGTTTCTAAAATCTCTTCTGGTTGTCCTTTATAAGGACACTTATGATTGGATTTGAGGCATGCCAGACACTCCAGGATGATTTGCCCACACCTGCAAAGGATACTTTTAAAGGAATTGAAGGTTTCAGAGATTAAAACCTGAGGCCCCAGAGATGCTGAGTCAATGTATTACAGTAGAGTTTGCTACTTCACCATTTGAAGAGACTGGATAAAAATTATTGTCTTGGAAGCCATAAATGATCTAGAAGCCACTAAGAACTGGGAAACTAAGCTGCTACTTGTAGCCCTGCTCATCCTCCCTGCAGTGTGTTCAACAGTGAACTTGGAAGAAAGTAAAACCTAGGTCTTCAGCCTTCCCAGGCCCTATGCGTCCACATTCTCCTTTAACCCCA